GCGTGCAACTGCACGCTTTGATTTTTGTGGACAACAACTATGCCTCGCTTAACATACGTCACGCACTCCGTTGCTCTTATTGGTTTGTAGATCTATCCAATTGAGTGCAGAGGCATTTTTTTCCTGGTTCGTTCGAAACACGCCCCATAATCACAGCTCTATGGAGCAGTATCAGACTCATATTCTGCCTAGAATTGAGTCAGACTACGTCAGGCTATAAGTTTATAACCATTCAAAGGTAATAACACTTTTCTAACTCACTGAACATGTAATTAAAGGTACACTTACTTCAGACCTGTCAGCTCTTTCCCAAAGAAGTGGATAACCACTGTACTAAAAACAAAGCTAGAAAATACTGTAAACAATCCGGCAATACCTGCAAATACAAGAGGAAAAATATATATATATCAGTTTAATGTTAACCAAAACAGTGTGTGATTGATTTAAACAGGAGTTAGGTTAGGTTAGGTTAGGTTATGCAACCGACAGCAGTCGGTTATTTTCACAACCTGTCATCATACTGACCCAGAATATATTTGGATCCCAGCTGTAAGAGGTTCTTAAACTGGAAGTAGATATAAATAATGGCCATGCAGCGAGTGATGGTCAAACTGATGATATCACTACTGGGGACTTCCTGAAAGAAAAACACACAAGCTTTGATGTTAGAGTTATGGAAACAAGGTATGATCTTCCAAACATTACAATCACACCTGTCTCACCTCTTTCACCTTGGGGCAGTTATCCCAGCTGCACATCTGACTGCTGGTGGAGAAGCTGTTCATGTTCATGAGGCAGATGGTGACGGCCAGGGTCCCCACGATCACCTCCCACGGGTGGGAGGCCACCAGCAGGCCGTGGAGCCGAAAAAGACGGGCCAGCATGATGCTCTCAAGGGTGTCTGCTTGTTAAAGCTCACTGCTTCATCTGTAACGTTAAAATATCACTTAAAAACAAACTGACGGGGTCTAGATAAATGTTAAAAACCAGTTCTATGACAAAATATAGCAGCTGACGCAGCTAACAGAAATGTACATAGAAAACCAACTGAATTTACACTTTAAATCGGACACAGAGCTACTGTTAGCATTAGCAATATTAGCTGTCTCACCCGGGTCGTCTAAAAAACCTCTTACAAGGTTAAAGCTTATTTAACACCCTTCAATCTTCATGCTCGGCGCCATTATGACTTCTACATAACTCAACGGGGATTTCTTACCGTGGTCAGAGGGTTCTTCCCATAATAGTGACAGCTCTGTCACTGGACTGATGTAACGGCACACCAAACCAACATGGCGACCCGGAAGTGCTGATCGCATATCTGTGTCGTCATTGCTGGGACGTGACGGGGCGGGGCTAAAAGCAAAATAAATTACGCATT